GAGTGTCTCCGCCCTCAGGGGCTGAAGCCAGACCCGCTGCAGCACTGGGAGCTGGTGCCCATCGAGGTGTTCGACGTGCGGCAGGTCAAGGCCAGCTTCAAGAAGCTAATGAAGGCCTGTGTGCCTGGGTGCCCCTCCAGCGACCTCAGCCTCACCTACCTGCGGTCCCTGGAGGAGTCTGAGTGGCTGTCTCAGGTCAGTGTCACCCAAAGCCTGGGGGGTCCTGCTCTGTCCCTACAGGAGGACAGAAGGAGTCGTTGCTGGTGGCTGCCATCAGATCACAGACTGGGTTGGGTGGGAAGGGACCTAAAGCTCATCTAGTCCCATCTGCCATGGGCAGGGACACCTCCCAGCAGCCCAGGCTGCTCCAAGCCCCATCCAACCTGCCCTTCAACACCCCCAGGGATGGGGCAGCCACAGCTTCCCTGGGCAACCTGGGCCAGGCTCTCCCCTTTAGACCTTTGTCATCATCCAGCCCATCCATGAAACCAACTCTACTGACTCGGGTGCTCACCCATGCCCCTCAGCAGCACATCTGCCAGGCTTTTAAACCCATCCAGGAATGGTGATTCATCCACCTCCCTGGGCATCCTGGGCCAGGCCTTGACAACCCTCCCAGTGAAGGAGTTGCTTCCATGCTTCTGTCCTACAGTCTTCTTATAAACATCCTGTGATCAACCAGATGGTGAAATTCAGAGCTGAAAATGGAACCAGTGGTGAAAAAAGGCTCATGGACAACAAAGTCACACTTCTGCTCCCTGGTAACTCTTGGTCTTTGCGTTGCCAGATCCATAAGATCCTGCAGATCTCAGTGTTGGTGGTGGAGCTCCTGGACACGGGCTCCTCAGTGCTGGTCAGCCTGGAGGATGGCTGGGACATCACCACGCAGGTAGGACCCTGTGCCCACCCAGTGCTGCCCCCTGCCCTGCTCCTTCCTGGCGTCTGAAGCCCCTTCTGTCCCCCCCACCCAGGTGGTCTCCCTGGTGCAGCTGCTGTCCGATCCCTACTACCGGACGCTGGAGGGTTTCCGGCTGCTGGTGGAGAAGGAGTGGTTGTCCTTCGGGCACCGCTTCAGCCACCGGGGGGCGCAGACCCTGGCGGGCCAGAGCAGCGGCTTTGCCCCCATCTTCCTCCAGTTCCTGGACTGTGTCCACCAGGTGAGCGCTGGGAAGGGCCCCGGAGCTGGGGAAGGGGCTGGAGCACGAGGAGAAGGGGCTGGAGAACTTGTGAGGAGCAGCTGAGGGAGCTGGGGGTGTTGAGCCTGGAGCAAAGGAGGCTGAGGGGAGACCTGCTGGCTCTGCAGCTGCTGAGAGGAGGTTGGAGCCAGGGGGGTCGGGCTCTGCTCCCCAGGAACAAGGGACAGGACAAGAGGGAACGGCCTCAAGTTGTGCCAGGGGAGGTTGAGGTTGGATCTGGGGAACAATTCCTGCCTGGCAAGGGTTGTCAGGGCCTGGCCCAGGCTGCCCAGGGCAGGGGGGGAGTCCCCATCCCTGGGGGGGTTTCCAAGCCCTGCAGATGGTGCTGAGGGATGTGGGGCAGGGGTGGCCTGGGCAGGGTTAATGGTTGGACTTGATCTTCAAGGTCCTTTCCAATCCAAATAATTTCATGATTCTGCGAGTGAGTCCAGAGCCCTTGGTGGGTCCCAGGAGGTCTCACCCGAGCTGCTCCTTTGCAGATCCACCTGCAGTTCCCCATGGAGTTCGAGTTCAGCCAGTACTACCTGAAGTTCCTCAGCTACCACTACGTTTCCAACCGGTTCCGCACCTTCCTGCTGGACTCCGACTACGAGCGCATCGAGCTGGGTGAGGGGAGCGCGGGGCCCGGGGGGCACAGCCCAGAGCCCTGCCCCAGCTTCTCACCCTCCCCTTCCCTGCTCCTCAGGGGTCCTGTACGAGGAGAAGGGGGAGAGGAAGAGCCAGCAGGTCTACAAATCCATCTGGGATTACATCGACCGGCTCAACAAGAAGGCTCCGGTTTTCTTCAACTACATGTACGCGCCCGAGGACGGGGAGGTGAGAGCAGAGCTGGGCCCTGAGCCCCCCCAGCCAGGGGGGCTGGGATGGGGCTTCCCAGAGGTACCCCCCTGCCCCCCCGGGGGGCACAGGCAGAGCTGGGCCCTGCAGGGGAGTGGGGGACACGGGGGTGCAGAGGGGAGATCCCCAGCTGGAGCTGCCAGGGCCTCCTGGGACAAGCTGGGAATGTTGTTCCCTGGGCAGAGGCAGTGGCAGGTTGGGGTGTGTGGCCCTGGTGGGTGGGGGGCTGCTCTGTGCTCGGAGCTCCCCCGTGGTCTGGGCTCCATCTGGGCCAACACAGGGAGCAGCTCTGCTGTTCCCAGCCCAGCCTTGTCTTTCCTGACCAGCCCCACGGCCTTCCAGCCTCTGCTGCCTCTCATGGAGTCATGGAATGGTCTGGGTGGGAAGGGACCTCAAAGCCCACCCAGTGCCACCCCTGCATGGGCAGGGACACCTCCCACCATTCCAGG